AAAAAAAAATACGCACATTCGAAGGCACAATGGAATGTTTCGAAAGTAGGGAGCCAGAGGAATTTATATTGGCGTTTCGCTGCGCTTTTCCCGCGCCGCCGCCGCCTGGTCCAGCATATTCGGAGGCGTGGGGTAATTTCGTGGGATGGGTTTTTTGCCTTGCGTCCTGACGGCGCTTCGGCGGAACATCCCCAATAGGGAAGGCGCTTGCATACCCAATTGCGTAAAATTCAGAGAGCGAAGGATCGCCCTGACGTTTGGACCCAAGACAACGAGATGCCGTAGATGAACCCAGCGAAAGGGACGACATTTTTCCGCAAGCGGCTCACGGGGGCAAAGTGGAAGAGACACGCCCTTCGCCCGAGCCAGGTGTGCTCTCACAAATGCTGCCGAGTAGGCCTTTATAGCGCGACGCGCAAGGCGAATGCATCTCGACCAGGAACCCGGCCAAAAAGGGAGATTCGACTCCGGAAGCGAAGGCCCTTTCGGCCGTTTTTATTAAAATGCGCCGCCCCCGGCGGAACGCAGCGCGTTCGACNAAAAGGGAGATTCGACTCCGGAAGCGAAGGCCCTTTCGGCCGTTTTTATTAAAATGCGCCGCCCCCGGCGGAACGCAGCGCGTTCGACGTACACGCTTTGAAGCCCCATCCCCTCCGGGGGTGTCGCAAGGCAATGCTGGCCATCGTATGGCCTTTCCGCACGGTTCCCCCGGCTGCCCCAAAGGGCGGGGGTCCTTTCAAGAGGGCTTCCGGGAAACAAACGGGCCGTTTCCCCTGAAGGGGGTATTGGCAAACGCCGTCGCCACAATTCAAACTTCCACGCAAAAACCGTGCGTCGCGGCGCCGGGGGCCAACGGGGTGGCAAAAGCGCGCGTGGACCCGCACGGCGTGGGAGCAAAAAGGGTTTCATTATAACGAGATTTTGCTAGTTTTCCGCCCAGCAAAGATCCCCAATAAAGGAAGAAACCGTCCTTCTTTTTATTGTTTTTCTTGCTGTTCCACGTGCAATTTAACGGCCAGGTGCCGCTGCCCGAAGGAGGAAATGCATTTGCGCGCATCTGCCGTGCCAGGGCAGATTGTGTGGGACTTGGCGGAGGGGAAACCCACCCATACCCGCTAAAACCTCCTGATAATGGGTTCCTTTCAACCCATGGGCGCGGGCGACACCAGCAGCACGGTGTCCCAGAGGAGCGGTCTCCGGTCAGGCCCTCCGCTTGACCCCTGGAGAGCAGGTCGCGTTGTATCGGTACCATGGCGCAGTTCCCGGGAGAACTATGGCGTATGGCATTGGATTCCCCAGTCCGGGAAACCGGGTACCACACCGTGAAACTTATCGATGTGTAGCGTGTATTTTCCCTGCAGTCTCTCCGTTCAGGCACTTTATTCATTACAAAACGCGCCTTATTTGCAAGGTACTTCGCTCCGCTATCCGAATAAGTAGCGGCCGTATCGCGGTGCAGCCCCAACTGAGCCGAATTCGGTGGTGGAGTTGTGGAAATTTAGCTTCCGAAGTAATGAACTTAGTGCTAGACCTTGGCGCCACGATGAGGCATTTCCGCAGCACCAAGGTCTTTTTATTGCAAGTTTGCAAATTGCAAAGGCAGCCCCATACAACACTATAAGGGTATAATTTATTTGCTAGCTGCAGGGCGCGCGCCGGCGCGAATGTTTATGGCTGGACTTTGTAAGCCCGAAGCCGGCGATCCAACCAAACGGCCCACCCGACGCTGCGATGGGAATCGGGCTTCATATTTGAGCCGCTTCCACTTGAGCGGGGCCGCATGGCACCAAGGCTGGCTTTTTGCTGAAGCC